AAAATATATATATATATATATATATATATATATATATATATATTATAAATTAAAATATTTTATATTTATCATTATATCCAATCGAAACATCAAAATAATAAAAACCGAAGCAAAACATATATTTTATTTTACAATAAATATTTTTTAATAAATAATTCGAACCGAATGGAACAGGACACACACATTCAAAATTAAAATTTTAATATCCGAAATATTCATCCTATAATTTTATTTGTATCCCATACTGATTTTATTGTATTGAGCTTCAAGTAACCATATAGGCATGGTCGTTAATTGATTTTAAAACCGTAAATTAATTTGGTTACGTGAAAATCTATGATTTTCATATTGTGGAGATTCACTGAAAAAGACTGCATGTATATGTATATATATACTGTATACATATGTTATTTTCACTTATATTTTCTATTCGTCATGGTATAGATTTCATAAACGACTCACATCCCCCCAAATATTTTATAGAATTTATTTATTGCACTAAATGAGGGTAGCAGTGAGTCTCCTAGTGGATATTTTGGATATCATTCACTCCATCTTTGATCATGTTAAAATTTGATTTTTAAAATTTTTGAAAATTTATATTTATTTAGTTTTGTTTCGATTTTTGGATATTTAGAATTTTGTTTTATTCGACTATACTATAATTTTCATTAAATATTAACTTATTTTAAAATAAAATTAGTTAGTTTTATTTATTTATCATTTGTTATATTATAAACCAGTTATTAATTAAATTTTAAAAATGTAAGCATCCAACATTCGATTTTAATTCAATTCAAATTTTATTGTATTTGATTAGTTTTCTTTTAATTACGCGTTCCCAATAAAAGTGGATGGGCAACAATAGCTTTTCTTTGGAATAAAGCACCACACGTCCTCCACTTTCATATTGTTCTTACTTTTTATTTTCTTTCAAAATTTGGTGGTACCTTTTAACATGGAAAAATGTGATAGAGAATTTGTATCCAATAAATGAAATCACAATATTTTCTACAATAGAGCTGAATTTTTAAGCAGGTGATCATTTTAAATAAGTTTATCATAAATATTTTAAAAAAAAATCCATAAAACTCATATATAAATTTTATAACATCCGAGATAATATATAAATAAATTATTTCCGAATTCCAAAATAAACATACAAACTTTTGAAATTCTCTCGAAAATCTTAAGTAACTATATTTATTTAGGAGCTGGAAAATATTTACTTAGAAATCGTAAAGTTTCTATATTTTAGTTTTGTAGAAAGGGAATATATTTGTATAGATTTTATCTAAAATAATTATTGGATGGTTGAATTGGGCTTTTAATTTCCTTCGTCGGCTTTATCGCTTCTAGAAAGCCTATTTGCAACCCAGTCCAAATACAACAAGTACGTGCGTATATATACACATACATACATATATATATACACACTGTGGGTATATATTATTATTGTAAACTCTTAGATACATACATAAATCTGGGGAACTAAATCTATGACGTATAATATAACAAGGGGTAATAATAATTCGCTCAATTTAATTAGAGATTTATGCCCGAATTTAATTATGTTTTACATCTAATTTATATTAAACCGATCGCATGAACTAACAAACAAGAACGGTTTTGGTTACCAACTACATCTCAAATAGACAAGAAAAAAGGGCATCCATTTAGATTTGTTAGATCATTTTATTAAATATATATCAGTTTTATTAAAAACGTATTTATTGTTTAATTGTTTTTATATTTCGTTTTTATTAATTTAAAATAGTCTCATTAAAATTTTAACTTATATTTAATTTAGATATATTTATATATTATATTACTAAAATCAATTTTATAATTATGTATTATTCATTTATCTGACTTTAAACTTTGTCACACTAGGGGTATCAAAACAAACCCGGCTCGCGAGCTGGCTCGTGGCTCGCCAGAAAACGAGCGATTTGAGCCGTAATTTTTTCAGCTCGTTAAAAAACGAGTCTAACGAACCAGAGCTCATTGAACACGTGTTCAATGAGCCTGACATCGGCGGCAATTTTTATGTATTTATTTAAATTTATAATTATATTTAAAATAAATATAAATAAAAAATATTATATATCCTTGGTTCAACGAGCCGACTCGTTCAGATCGGAAAACTGGCGAGCGATCTGAGTCGAGGTTTTTCTGGCTCGTTAGAAAACGAGCCTAACAAGTTAAACCCAAAACGATCTGAGCCAAATGAGTCGAGCCCGAAATGATCCGAACTGGCTCGTTTGACACCCCTAGTCAACACATTTTATCATAAAGAGAAAAAAATATTTATAAAAAAAGAGATGAAGTTTTTCATTACTTTTAAAATTTTCGTGGGGGAAAAAAACTTTAAGAAGTCCAATTGGTGGGCCGTGAGGTGAGGTCACGGCGGTCCCTGTCGAAGCTCGTTTTCCCATTTGAAAAATTAATCTCACGCGCTTTCGCGGCGCGTCTCCAATAAACTTGGGCACCGAATTTTAAACAAAATTTTAAATTATTTAACGAACAAAAAATGGTTCTTGTTGTTGACTAATGAAATTACATTTAGACCAAATTAAAGAAAATAGCTTCCCGAACATAACGACAAACTCATCATATATTTTATATAGTCTCTTTTGATTTATGTATACATTTAATCAATACATAAGTTAAGATTATGTATTATTCTTGTAACTTGTTTATCATCTTATTATACGAAAAAACATGTTAATAAAATATATATATATATATATATATATATATATATATATATTCACACATTTTGTCAAAAAGATGGGACCTACAATATAGGTGATAAATGGACCTTCCGTCAAAGTTTTTGCATGTAACACTTTGGTTCATTGAACCTACACAAATGGCTTGATTGTTTAAATATTCCATCTAATTATATGCAAAATGTATGAATTTAATAACCTTACAATAATAACGTGTATTTTTTTACAGAAAAATTATGGAAAAATAAGTATATTTTAAGTCTAATAAAACACCAACACAAAAGGTACAGATCTAAAAGATGGTTAAGGATTTTGAAGATACATAACAAGATTTAATACTTGTGTTACTTCATAATTTCAATCATTAGAGCTTTGATTACAGAAGCGCGTGAGATACACGCCTATGTGAGCGACGGAAAAAGCAATCAGATATGACGCGGGGGGCAACGGGCAGCATCTAACGCCGTTAACTTTGCACGGAGTTCAAAGAATCGATCATTTTTAGAAATCAATTATCCGAACCTCAGGTTCGGTCATGGGCCCTCCGAAAAAAAAAGTTTCTCCATTTCGTCTCTCTCTCTCTCTTACCCGAGGGAAAAGCGCGTAGAAAAAAGGAAAATAGAAAGGAAGTAGCAGAGGGACCTGAGCTGTAGAGAGAGAAAGCAAGCCGGTGTGGGTGTGCTGAGTTCTAGAGAGAGTAGGGAGGGGCCAGGATGAGTCAGATCGTGAGGCGGCGGAAGAAGGGACGGCCGTCGAAGGCGGATCTGGCGCGGCGGGCGAGCTCCGGCGATGGGTACGAGCTCCGGCGAAGTCTTCGGCGGAGAAATGTGAGGTACAACTTCGATTTTGATGATTATCTCGACGACGAGGACGAGGCTGAGGAGGAGAGTAGGCGAGGAAAAAAGATGAAGCTCGTCCCCGTTCTCAAGCTGAACCAGAGCCGGGCAAGCGCCGACCCCCCGACCAGGGGCCGAGGCCGACCGGCGTCGCGTGGTGGGCACGTATCGGACGATGGGGATGAAGATGAAGCGGAAGGGGATGACGACGGAGAGGAGGAGAATGATGACGAAGAGGTGGGTGAGAAGAAGCCGGTGAAGAAGAGGAAAATTAGCGGTGGTGCTGAAGAAGATGAAGATTATGAGGAGGAAGAGGAAGAAAAAGAAGATCGCGGGGATGCAGATGAAGACGATCATGAGGTATGTACGGAAACCCTAGAAATGTTTGTCAGCCTTCTGTATCACCAATATATATATATATATGCACTCCCCTCTCTCTCTCTCTCTCTTGTTCTTGCTTGTGATGGGAGTATGTTGGGATTTGGGAGATAATTAAACTGTCGGGTCAACTGTCAAAAACTAACATATGCTCTCTCTCTCTCTTCCCACAGAATCTTGATCACGCTCTCACCTTTCTCTCTCTACCCACATCTTTTACTCTATATATAGATGTGTGTTTTTCTTATCCATGCTCGAGTATTGTCTGCTTTTACCAGTGCATCTCTGTCTCTTTCATTCACTCTGTTTTTTGTCTGACCATGACTTTGTCTTTCTTTCAGTACGTTCTGATTCCCTTGATTCGCGGGAAATAGATGGAGATGAAGTTTTAAGGTTTCTGATATATGTCTTGGTTTTTGTCAGGAAAGGAAGGGGAAAGAGACAGGAAATAGGGGCAGTTCTTGTCCTGGTATGAGTTGTTATGTTTCTGGGTGTCGAGTTTTGATCTCTAACTCATCCCAAGTCTGGATTTTGCAGCTATTCGAGTAATTCATCCACTTCTTGTTTGTTAATTAGGAACTCTGACTGATATCTCATCGGAGACCCCTATGCCTGACAAGAAATCCTTGGAGTTGATCCTTGAAAAGTTGCAGAAGTATGCAACTTGAATCCTTTTTCCTTCTTTTTTTCTTTTGCACATCTACATTTGTGTAGGCATACACACGCACACGCAAATATATATATATATATATATATATATATATATATGTATGTATGTATCTGCTGTGTGTATTTTTGTGTCACTTGGCTTATCAACACCCTGAAATTTCGAGCAGGAAGGACATTTATGGTGTGTATGCAGAGCCAGTTGATCCTGAAGAGGTATGCACATTTGACACGATATGAGCACAACTTGTACAGAAATGGGGTTTTGAGTTATTTTATTCATTGGTTTTGTTCTGCAGCTTCCTGATTATCATGACATAATTGAGCATCCCATGGACTTTGCCACGGTGAGGAAGAAGCTTGCAAATGGATCATATTCCATACTTGAAGAGTTTGAGGTGGGTAACAAGTTTTGATTTGTTTTTCGGTTTGAAAGACTCGTGGCCTGTGTAAGCAGCTTCTCAGCCATGTTTTGAAGATATAGGTTCTTCATATGGGACATAGAATTTTGTAGCCAGCTTGACTGCGCCCACATGCTATGTTAGAGAATGTATTTCGAGTTAATACTTTACTATATCAGTTAGACCAAGGTTTCTCTGAGGTGTTTATCGAAGCCGGGTTTGATGAATGCAGAGTGATGTCTTTCTGATTTGCTCAAATGCAATGCAATACAATGCTTCAGACACTGTGTACTATAAACAGGTAAATGGCATTTTCATTTTCTTACCTAAACCTTCTATGTTTTGCTGTTTAGTTTTGCTGCCTGTTTGTCCGTTGAACTCACTCACTGTATCCTGCCTGCATAGGCGAGGACTATTCAGGAGATGGCGAAGAAAAAATTTGAGAAGATAAGGATCAAGATTGAACGTGCTGAGGAGAAAGAGTTGAAAACAGAACAAAAGGTGAAACCCGGCAGCTCAGGAAAGAAGCAGGTCAAACAGTTTCCTAACAAGAATGTGTTAGAACCCATCGGCTCTGATTTCTCTGCTGGTGCCAATCTCGCTACCGGAGGTATTTTCCAAAATGGCTCAGTTTCAGCTCAGACTGGTACAGACGGGCTTTTGGAGGGAAATGTATCCCTAGTCGACAGTCTCGAGAAAGCAGAAGACTTGATATCTGGTATGATATATACACTACATTACCTGTGTAGCCTTATTTCTTCTGAGGAAGAAAGGTTGAAACTTTATCAGGTTTTGGATTTTTTCATGTTTTTCAACTTTCCCAGGTAAGGGTCTATCTGGTAAGTTTGGGAGGAAGCAATCTGCTACTGAGGATAATCGTCATGCAACTTACAGCATGTCTTGTCAATGGTCAGAGAGACCAGAGTCTGTATTCTCAACGTTTGAGGATGAAATCAAGCAGCTTGTGGCTGTATGTGATTAAATCCATTGATTTTTCATTCTCCCTCTTTCTTTTTGCTGCTTCACATATTTTTTTCCTTCTTTCTCATAATCAGGTAGGGCTTCATGCTGAACACGCATATGCTAGAAGCCTGGCTCGCTTTACTGCAACTCTAGGACCTGTTGCATGGAAAGTAGCCTCTCAGAGAATTGAACAGGCACTGCCTGCGGGTGTTAAGTTTGGCCATGGATGGGTTGGAGAGTATGAGCCTCTCCCTACACCATTACTGTCACTTGAAACCAGCACGCTGAAAGAATCTTCTGCTTTCACGACGAGAAATGAGATGCCGTTAAAGACGCCGAGGGAACAACCTCCAAACGAGCCAATTCCAGAAGGAAAGCCTTCTCTCTTTCAGACTTCTGCTGGGTCCGTCTCGGAAGGGAAACCGCTATCTTCTGTTGCTTCCCGAGCTGTAAAACCGAAGTCTGCAAGCCAGCAACAAAACATGCCTGCCCGGGCTTCTGTCGAGCTTCAAAGGAAGAAGCTTCAGCAGGTAGAATTGAATTTACCACCACCAGATGAACAAACCAATGCAGCTTATGTTTCAGAGAAGCAGAATTTGGATAAATCAGACACAGTGGCCTTTAGATCGACTGACATGATGAGGAATGTGTCTCTCACTCGGACTGAACAATATAAGCCCCAGGCCACTAACGGGGTTAGTCCTGGTGGGTTGGCTAATGGAAAATCCTCAACTGGGTTGAACAGCAGGATGATCGATCTGTCGAAGATTGATACTCCGAATCAAATGGCTCGAGCAGCAACGTGTTCACAACCCGTTAGACCGGGTCAACTCCAAGGCCTCGGTGACCCGTCACAGTTGATGAAAGGCCTTGGTGAAAAGGCCAAAATGCAGCACAGCTCCAGCCATCCTCAAGATAATACTCACTCATTTCCGTCTATAAGAGGTGAAGATTCAAGTAATGCTGCCCTCTTGGCGGCACGGGCATGGATGTCAATAGGGTCTGGGGGTGGAGGGCATAAACAAAAGACCGAAAATTCTAACAGCCCGAAAAACAGGATTTCGGCTGAGTCATTGTATGATCCAGCTAGGGAACTCCATCCACAAGCACTGACACCCAGAGGATCCGAGCTTCCTTTCTCGCAAAGTAATGGTTTCCCCTTCCAGACATTTGTGCATCAACCAGTTCATGGATCCCGACAGCAAATGGGTTTCCCTCACATGGTCCCTGCTTCTGACTTCAATGGATTCCACGCTCAATCCCCATGGCGAGGCATTAGCACCAGCCAGCTGAAGCAGAGACAGGACAACCTTCCTCCGGATCTGAACATTGGTGTCCATTCGCCTGATTCACCTGCAAAACAGTCTTCTGGTGTTCGTGTGGATTCACAACAGCCTGATCTTGCTCTGCAGCTCTGAACCACCATTGCAGAAGAACTAACTCAGTGCCGACATGATCAAACTCAGTGTTTTTCCAATCGGTAAGAAGCCTGGACTAGTTACAGCTTTCTCTGGAAATCCATGGAAGAAACATGAGATCGGTTCAATGGAAGAAAACATTGAAGAAGAATAGTCCAAAGCGTGGTGTACTTTCAAGGATCTGGAGAAAAAACCCGAACAGATGAAGGAGAAAGCTGTTTTGTCAGGTGAGTTGGATGAAGTTGCGGGTGAGTAAAAAACCCCATTGTTAGGGTTTCTGATCAGTCACTGGTTCAAATTCAATGCATCCATGATTTAGATTCGTCAGTGTAGGGGGTTTTTTCTCTTCCTTTTTAGTGAAATTCAGACACTATTTATGGAACAAGAGTAGCTAAAATTTTCTAACATAGATGTCTGAACAGCTTAGCTAAGCTCTATTTGTGTGTATGTGCTTCTCTGTGCGTTTTACAATTACAGATGTATAAGAATATGAGATAGTTCTATCTCCTCTCTCTCGTCCACGTCAACAATATTCTTCATAATCATCTCTTAACATGATATATATATATATATATATATGCTTGTGTATATGTATATATATGTTTTGATAGAGGGTCCCGGTTGAAGTCTTTGCATTTGCACAATCAAAAGCATGCAACAACACATTGGTTCAATCTTAGAAGCATTAAATAATTACTGATTACCATATAACCATGGGGTTATGAAATGTGATCGACCATGGAACCAGTCGACGAGACCAGTTCACATGTGGTACGATCAGAGTACGGAATCTCTGTGTACACATATACATGTATGTATAGTCTTAAAATAGAAGAAGAGAAGCATGGGAGAAACAGACATGAGCTGTGCCAAGGTGTCTTAACTCTTAAGGGCTTTGTGTCTGGAAACCAACTGTCGCAAAAAATATCGGGTCTGTCTCTCTCTCTCTCTCTTTTTTTTTTTTTTTAAATTCCAAGCTTGTTGGTTTTTTCTGTTGTGATTGTTCTTCGTCATCTTCTTCACCATGGAACCAGGGGGTTAATCTTTTCCGGTGGTTCTTACCATCTTTAAACCCCCCTTTCCATGTCCACCCATTTCCGTTTTCAGAACAACCTTTCCCCCTCATTTCGGCCTGTGAAAAAAACAAGATTTTAACCATAAAATACATTGTTCAATTTCCAAAAAAACAAACAAAAAAAACATAAACCTGTTTCCTTCTTCGGACAGCTTAAAGCGAGGAGTACGGACCGCGGATGAGGAGATGATCCTGTACGGCGGGGGAGCATCGAAGGAAGGTGGGTCCGCTTCCTCTGACGGCGGTGGAGGGTTGGCGGTGGTTTTGAAGAAGGGGCCGTGGACTGCGGCGGAGGACGAGATTCTGGCGGCGTACGTGAGGGAGCACGGCGAGGGGAACTGGAACGCGGTTCAGAAGAACACGGGCCTTGCCCGTTGCGGTAAGAGCTGTCGGCTCCGGTGGGCGAATCATCTCCGGCCGAATCTGAAGAAAGGCGCCTTCACCGCCGAGGAAGAGCGCTTAATCATTCAGCTTCATGCTCAACTCGGCAACAAATGGGCTCGCATGGCCGCTCAGGTGACTAACCCCCTTCTCCTTCTTTTCATTACATGAATCCTCGTATCTCTCTCTCTCTGTGTAATCTATAGATTCTGGGTTTTTGATTTTCTTGCTCTGTCATCTCGTTTCAAGTCTCTCCTCAATCGCATATCGCTTGTCTCTATGTCCGTACGCGTAGTATGTCTTTATTTGCAGTTGCAGTATCTGGTTTTAATGGCTTTTGAGTTTATGTTATTTGATTCTCTATTCTGTCATCTGGGTTTGTGCTTTTCTCACTTTTCATCATCATCATCATCATCATCAATGGTTATGCCCTGTTTCCTCTCTGTTTTCTAGATTCTGTTCTCTGTTGTGTTCTTGTTCCTTGTGTGAGAAAAAATGCTCTGTGTAAAGAAACTTCAAACCAAGAGAATATTGAAACAAGAACCAAAACTCATGGATCCTAATCTATAATATCTTCCATAGCTACCGGGAAGAACGGACAACGAGATCAAAAACTACTGGAACACGAGGCTGAAACGCCTCCAACGTCAAGGTCTCCCTCTCTACCCGCCCGATATCATCCCAAACAACAACCATCACCATCACCATCATCATCACCACCATCATCCGCACATGCCTACCTCCCCTCTCCCCTCCCCTTCTTCCACGGCCACGGCCCCGACCCCGTCCTCTTCCTTCACTTTCCAGACCATACCGTCCCCTAACCTATTGCGTCCTCTCAGCCCTACACCGCCTTGCCACACTCCCACCACTCCACAAACCCCTCCTCACTCTCTCTCTTCTCCTCGCCAGTTCTCTACTCTCCCTCTCTTCGCCCTCCCGAGGTCCCCTTCCTCTTCCCTCTCCCATCCCGACATCAATGCCTTCACCTTCCCCCGCCCCCCTCCTCTCCTCCAGCCGCCTTCCTTCCGTTCTAAACGTTTCAGTTCTCATTCTGTTATTCCCGCTAACGTGAGTTGCAGCAGCGGGTTTTCGCCAGTGGGGAAGAGCCCTTACTCTTCGTTTCTAACGCTGCCTTATTCTTCCCCGGCCACTCCAACTGGTTCTTCTTCTTACCCGAACGCCAACGCATCCTCGTCCTCGTCCTCCTCCTCCATCGCTCTCCTCGTCTCTTCCTCTCCCACTTCTCCTCTTCATTCCTTCTCTCTAAACCCTTCCTCTCCTTACCACTCATCCCAATCCCCTACTCATCATATGCTTCATACCCATTTCTCTCCTTCCTCCCTTCAGTCCACTGAACCCGTTTCTGTCTACTCCATTAAACCCGAGCTCCCTTCGAACCAAATGTCCCACTCGACCTCTGTAGCCGGCTATGATGTCATCAGCTTGACAGGCGATGAGAAACATCATCACCATCAGCAGCATCATCATCACCATCATCATCAGAATCTTGATGCTGGTTTGCATAGTAATAGCTGCGAGCTGTTAGAGAATGTCCTCGACGAAGCTGAGGCTTTGGCCAGCGGCGGTCGAGCTTCTAAGAGGAGACAAGTCATGTCTCTGCCTGACCAGAACGACAACAATGCCAACAGCACTGACAACTTGGCCAGTTTCGGCTTATGTCCCCCACAAGGTGAGCCATCGAAAAATGCTTTTTTTTTCATATCTGCAAACAAAAACATGAACTATTGGGTGTGTGTGTCTTTTGATTTAAAAAAAAACAAAGGGTTAAGAGAAAGGGAAGATGATCAGTCGCTCCAGATGAACGCCATGCAAGAAGACATAACGAAGCTTCTTGAGTGGGGAAGCGACAGTGGAGGAGAGATCTCGAACGGGCATTCCTCTGTCGTGACGGACGACAATCTCGTCCTCGACGTTCATCAGTTCGCGTCGTTGTTCCCAGTCGACACTTCTTCGGCATCTGCCAACGACCACAACAAGAACAGCACCACCACTTCCTGTTCTTGGGACAACTTGCCCGGAATCTTCTGAAAAAAAAAAAAAAGAAGATCGGTCGACAAATGAGTTCTTTCTTGATCATTGATTTACCATTTATCCGGATTTTTAAGTGCGTGAACAAAATAAATTTGTTGTTTATTTCTAATTACTTAATTACTAATATTGATTTGGCAGTGACTTTGGATGCGTTTCATCTGTTTGTTCATAATGCATTCGCTCATCATTAAGAGCTCTCTCTCTCTCTCTCTCTCTATATATATATATATATATATATATATATATGTGTGTGTGTGTGTTACCAAATCAGTATATATATTTTATGTATTTTTAAAATTTTTATGTACATGCACTGCAACCCAATTATCGTAATGGTAGCACCCTAAACTATAGATAATCTTGAGAAATCTTGATAATCCAAGAAAGATAAATCATATACGAGGGTTTCATGAACATTGGTTACGTCGTTTTTCCATATTCAAATGCATCGATCTAATCACATTATTTTCCTTTTTGACAACAAAATATTTTTCTTTTTCATATACGTAAATCAAAACAATAAATCTGGGATCGTATATAATAGGGAAATTCCCAAAAAAATCATCCAATTATGATATAACTATCACATTCATCACGAACTTTTAAAATTTCCAAATTCATATTGGATTTGAATTTTTTGTCTAAAAAATCATTCGAAATTTAAATTTTAACAAAATCTTCATCGGAACAGAATTAATTTTGCCACGTAGGCATAAAGCGCTTACATGGCGCCTACGTGGCATGTACGTGTTCGCCACGTAGGATACACGTGGCATTAATAATAAAAAAATTGAAAAAAAATTGAAAAAAATGTAAAAAAATTATAAAAAATATGAAAAAATTACAAAAAAATGTAAAAAATGTAAAATTGTAGAAACATTTTCAAAAAATGTAAAAAAATGTAAAAATTATAAAAATTGTAAAAAAATTGCAAAAAATTATAAAAATTGAAAAAATGTAAAATTGCAAAACATTTTTAAAAAATGTAAAAAATTGTAAAAAATTGTAAAAATTGTAAAAAGTATAAAATTGTAAAGTTCGTGATGAATTTGATAGTTATCTCGTAACTGGATGATTTTTTTTTTTGAAAATTTCCCTTTTTTAAAAAAATAAATTAAATTTTTTTAATTTTTTACAATTTGTTTTACATTTTTTTACAATTTTTATAATTTTTTGCAATTTTTTTACAATTTTTATAATTTTTACATTTTTTTACATTTTTTGAAAATGTTTTTACAATTTTACAATTTTTACATTTTTTTTGTAATTTTTCCACATTTTTTATAATTTTTTTTACATTTTTTTCAATTTTGTTTTAATTTTTTATTATTAATGCCACGTGTATCCTACGTGGCGAACACATACATGCCACGTAGGCGCCATGTAGGCGCTTTCTTCCTATGTGGCAAAATTAATCCTGTTCCGATGAAGATTTTGTTAAAATTTAAATTTCGAATGATTTTTTAGAAAAAAATTTCAAATCCAGTATGAATTTGAAAATTTTAAAAGTTCGTGATGAATGTCATAGTTATCTCATAATAGGATGATTTTTTTGGGAATTTCCCTATATAATAATCAACTTTTATTACAAACTTTAACGCTCCGAAGTAAAAAAAAACACACTTGTATTAATCACTAACTAAGATGGGGAGGTTCGAAGGTTTTGAAAATTCTGTAAGCAGAAATGGCGGACAGAAGGAAGAAGAAGACGACGACGAAGGCGTGAAGCCCCAAAGCGACGGCGAGCTTGGAACAGAAGCCGGCATAAGAAGAGCAAACCTCGCTCCACGTCACTTGTCGGTCCCCTTTGTATGCCAAGTATGTTATCTCCGATGCCGCCGCCATTGATGTTACTGTCAAATAAGCTAAAACCTAAACATACAATAATAAAAAAAACCCATATTATTTTGTTGTTTTAATTAATCAATACATGGAAGATTAGGTGTGTAAGGAACAAAACCTTATACTCCTTGCGTTTCTAAAATAATATCCTTTTAGATTTTTTTCACGATTATTAAAAAAACATAAAAAAAATCATATCTACCCCCAATTAAGTTATATTTTATTTAAGTTAATTTTTAAATTAAGGATAAAATTATATTTATTTTTTTTATAAAATCACCTAGAAAATTTAAAACGACATCTAATTAGTAATAAAAATATTCTGTAAAACTACATCTATGAGAGTTTTTTTTTGGTAATGATCTATGAGAGTTGTTTATTCAACCAATGGCAAAGTAAATTTAATCCCACTAAAAAATTATAATTTAGTGCTGTTAGTAACGCTAATCCTATAAAAAAAATATATTATTAGAAATATAATTTCATAATTGAACTGTCTCCATAACTCTTCGTAATTCCCCATAAAATGCAATAAAAAAATTGTATTGGGGGGCAATTTGTTTCTATTCACTTCTTCAATCATATGCATATTTTACATATTTATCAATTAATTTTAAAATCTTATCATAATTAAACCCATTATAATTTATTTCCCTTTTGAAATTTATAAATGGGAGAAAAAAAAGGTTGAGAGAAAAATGAGAAAACCTGGTCAGAGAGAAAGAAGAGCCAAGATCTGGAGACAAAGCAAATGACCCATGAAGAGATACAGGAAACCACAGCATAAGCAGCACATACGGCACTCACACCTGCCATGTACCTGCAGTTTTGGGTTAATTAATACCACCAAATTTCACAAAAAAAAAAGAAAAAGATTTTATAAAACTGGGTGTATGTATACGTATACGTATACGTATACGTATATGCAGTACTTGAGACCAAATAGATTGGTGTAATCCAGGTTGCCATAGTCAGGGTTGTCTTGGTGGTTAGTGACAGTCAACCAAACAGTTGCAACACTCAAGGGAACCACACTTAGCCTCAGACATGAATCTATCATCTTCAAAACCGGTGGCTGCTTTGAAGAACTGCTTCCCTCTTCACTTGTGTTCTCTCTCATGTTCCCTTCTTCTTCTTCTTCCTCTCTCTCTCTCTCTCTTTTATTTTTATGGTGTTGGGAGAGAGACGAAGAGATTAAGAAAAACCCGGTTGGGTTGGGTCTTGAACTCAAATGGGTTTCCACTTACAAGACCACATATCTCTTTATATATATATATATATATATATATATATATATATATATATATATTTTATACACAGCACGCG